AAGATTTATATTTTCATGTTTAAACGTACTGATATCTGGAATACATGTGCATCTACATAGTACTCATTAACTGTTATATCGCCTTTTGCAAGATTATTGAGTTTTAAATGACCTGGTTATGACTTGGACTTTGAAATAGATCATATAGCACTATTATATAAGTTTGTGATCATTTATAGGTTTTAGTGTTTAGTAGAAACTTCTGTTGGTCATAGTGCTACACTAGAAACATTATTGGTCATAGTGCTACACTAGAAGCTTTCCTACTCCTTAAAGTTTGCATATTGGAGCACCACAAATTTATTGGGCCCTAGAGGCACACTGTGGGCAATGGAGGGTGCCTTATCTTTACTGTAATGCATGCACCGTAACACAACTGAATTTTAATGGCCGTGCAGGGATACAGTAGTGGTCAACACACATGCAATTCAGTGCACATACAGGCAATGCATGTTAATGCACCGCAACAGCCCACGATGTACCAAAGACTTAAACATGGCGATTAGGGTCTGGAACTCACTGCCTCAAGCGGTAATTTCCGCAATTAATCTGGAATCATTCGAGAGGCTTTTGGACTACATCCTGAGAGACCGAAATGCACAAGGGTACAGGTACTTATAATGAGAACACTCATGGACCTATACATACACGCATACATACACACACACACCAGGTTGGACTTGATGGACTTATGTCTTTATTCAACCTCAAATACTATGTATAAAACTATGTATAAAAAATGGGGTATAGCTTTCAAATGAGTAAATTACAGCACAATAACCAAGGTTTCATTATGTGCCCTTTGCTTACTGACATGGTTATGACACTTGAGTTTTGTCACTGGGCCTGTCTGGTAGCAAATGCCTCAGCTGCAGGTTTATGCTCTTTCCCCTGGTAATGCAAGAATACCATACGGTTTGTTCTAGCTAGCTTTAGGGGAATCTGCAGTATTTTTGTAGTTTTTCTAGAGATGTAAATGGCTGATTTTTCTAGTCCATGTGTACAGGGAACTACAAAAGATGTGCATGGGTTGATAGTTTAGCAGTGCAGCACAGTGACTTTTATTTCAGGTATTTTGTGTAGCGCTGATAATTCTTGCACAGCACTTTACCCAGTGTACATTCACATCAGACCCTGCCTTTAAGAAGCTTGTACTCTAAGGGCCCTATTGCATACACATACTAGGGTAAATTTAGAAAGGAGCCAATTAACCTTCAGCATGTCTTTAGAGTGGGGGAGGAAACAAAATGCAAACTCCTTGCATATAGTGACTTTGCTTTATGGTTCCATTCTCTTAATGCACATCAGACTAATTGCCAGTTCAGTGTTGACTGGCATTCCGCGCCAGATCAACTCCACCAGGTCATGTGGAAAACAATTTTCTATGTGTCCTCTGCATACTAAAACACAGGTATTGTGGTAAAATGCAGACAGACTGCATCTTTCTGCAGTGCACCAGCTGCAACTGGATGGTACAGCACTGCAATGTAAAGCGCTTCCGTGTGGCAAGATGAAAGTAACATTGAGGGAAAAAAGGTGAACTGTCTTGTGCTGTAACAATGAAGAGCACTGCAGTACAGTGCTGCCACTTGGTGGAAATTAGCAGTATGGAAAATGCCTTATCAGCTGAATAAATGTACACTGACATCTCTTATGTGTTTACAGGGCTGTGCTACCATGGATGTAGTGTTCAAATCCATGGCAGCAAAAGTTAAGACCACTTTACATTTAGGGCAGGTTCACACCATTTTACGGACCAGATCGGGAACACAATGCATTGTGTTTTTTTGCTGCATTAAAAGTGTGGGGTGTTTTTTGTTTTGTTTTTTTGTTGTTGTGGGCGTTCCAGACAAAATAACACTAGCAGTATTTTTTCTGGTCTGGAACTGACTGTGCTGGTGTGAACAGATGCATTTTCCCCGGGTTGTTGTGAGAGGAAAGTCTGTGTTGGAGAGTTGCCTGGGGAGGGACTTGGTCAAAAGCGATGTCTGGACCTGAGAGTTTGATGCCTGGATTAAGCATGGGAGGGGACAGGGGGGGAATCTTTGTACGCATCCCTCCAGGATGCTCTCAGCACCAGCTCTCGAGTGCTGGTTCTGACTTGAAAGATTATATATATATATATATAGATGACATCTGAGGGTAATTCAATTATGATTCCCCATGTCTAAACTGGTGAGTGGGGGGCAAGCTTGGTGCCCCCTTTGGTAATTAGAAGCAGAATAACACTCTTCCAAGAGACCCGTAGCTTGCACATCTCCATTTTTTCCTACATATTCTCAATTTAAATTGCCTTTTTTATTGGTGGTAAACTGTAAAATAACAAACTATCGCCAAAGCTTGGAAGAAACTGGCATTTTATCAGTGCAAAATATACAGGTGTAGCACCCTACTGGGAAAGAGTGCTATTCAATTTAGTATTGGACTGTATGCTGTTTGATGCTGATTTGTAATCTGGGTTCATTTGGTTCCCCTAAACAATCTGTCACGTACCCTGGTCGCAGAGCAACCAATGAGAGATTATAAGTTGATATCACTGTTGGACAATGGCCAGTGGTGCAAGCTGGCTGAGGTGATAAATACTTGGTGGACCATGTGAGATCTCTCTTCCTCCCCCAGGCCTTGCCTTTGGGGAGGCTGCTGTGGACTCTAAGATGGCTAGGCCTGGGGACTAGCTGAGTAGTGAGCCTGATAGCAGCAGGCCCAGTGGTTATTACTGATGAACATGACTAGTGACTTCTACTTCAAGTAATGCTGTGCATGGAAACGGTAACCACACTCTGCTATGTGATGGAGTCTACATCTGCTTGGATGATCTTAACTCTCTGCCTCTCCCTAAAGTTCTACAACAACTTTCAAGCATCATATCTACAGTCTAGACATCGCTTTAATCGATTTTGCCAGAGGGTGGTAAGTGTTGATGGGCAAAGTGAGTGAGATTACCCCTAGACATGAAGATCTTGGTGCTGCAGTAGCCCATAGCATCTGACCCTAGATCTCGAGGTGTGCTGTGGATCCATTATCGAGGTTTCTTGGAGGAAACACAGGAAGACTTGTTTGTTCTATTATTGTAGATCACCCCTTAGGAGCCAATGGTAGTGTTATCCTGCACTGGGATGTTGCTGACTTGGGGTGGGTGCTGCATGGGTATTTTGGGGGTGTTCTCTCCCCTGTATAGTATCCATGGATTATGGATGCTCCAGGTTATCAAACCTGGAGCAGCTCTGCATTGCAACTTAATCAGCTGCTTTCATTTTCAAATCTTAACAGAACAAACTAAAGGTGCCCATACACCTTACGATTATCAGACGAAACTTTTCGTCCGATCGAATAGTCGTACGATGTTCGTACGGCAGCCCCATCCTGCCCCGATATCGCAAGAATCATTTAGCCATAATTAACCAAAAGCACCTGGACGAAATGCGGTAATTGATTTGCCGTATTTTCGTTGGCGCAAGCGCAGTGTACATCGTGCGACTTGCCGGACGGAGACGCCAGCAACCTTACGACAATCGTACGATCTAGCAAAGTTTTCAAACATGCTTGACTGTCAAAAGTCGTACGATTGTACAGTATTGTCGGTCGGACACTGCAATGCACACATACGATTATCGGACGAAAAGTCGATCGCATACGATTATCGTCCGATAATCGTAAGGTGTATGGGCACCTTTAAGGGAGAAGCTGGTTGCCATGCACGGCTGCTCCAGATTGTCTGCTCCAGTTTTTCTAAATTCTCCTGTGTTCATGCTGCTTTTCCATCTGAAGATGTGCTTCCATTGGAGAGTGAACTTTAAGTGTACTCTAGTGGCTTCTTCCTTTCCCATTTTCTTCAGCTCACCTTCCTCTATCCCTCCCCCTTTCCGTTCCTGCATCCTAAATATCTCCATCTATCTCCCTCCTACTCTTTTCCTCTTTACAGAGCTTGCTCTGGACATTCTTCTTTTCACTCCCTTAATGCCAACACTCCAACTCGGGTCTTTATTTGCTGTCTTTCTGATTTTAGCAGTTACTCATGCTTGGAGACACTTGGTCTCTGAATAACCTTTATGGTATAAAAGCTGGTTCACATATAAATGCATGATTCATTGTAACTTTGTCTTCTCTATAAAAGTCCAATAAAAATGTATCGCAAGCAAAAGATTACAGTTGCAGAATGAATGTACATAATTTAAAGCGGCCAGACGTCGAGATGAGTGACCCCCCCCTGCCAGCACCGCCCAGCTCAACAAACTTTGAATACAAAGTCAAAGGGCTAGGTGGCAAATTGTTGCAAGCCTGTGGAAATTTAGGGTTTGGCTAGCATAACATTAGGATGTGCATATTTTATCTAAGAGGCTCCCAAGTGTCCAAACAGAGAGGGCTTTGACACTCAATGATAAAAACCAGATGACTGCCCCACATGCCTAGCTTTGAAATATTTACAACAAAGTCTCAAGCACATAGCAAAGGTTTTCATATGAGCGGACTGCATCAAATCCTATTGAATGCTAAAGTCTTTGCAGCTGCTGTGTAAAATCGACTATAACTAATTTTCTAATGTCAGAACTAAGATCCTTTTTTTTATCTTTTTTTTTTTTTTTCTAAAGTCGGTTCACTAACCATAGTTTGAATTCTCATTATGCTTCTTAGTTAGTAAATTTGACACTTAACACACAATCTCAGGAATGGTTTTATCACCAGCTCAGACCTCTCTATTCAGTTCTCTTCACGATTCACATTGGGAGACATATATCAATTCTGTGACCTGGCAAAGCAGTGCTAAACGGGGGCAATGAGACTTGTACAAGGTTACAGCAGGAGTCATAAATTCCTTCCTTAGCTGCTCTTAAGTAGCATTGTAACAGAATAAAACACTACCCTGACCACTTAATTGTGCGCCTGTCTAGAATTTGTTGCATCCTCAATCCCTCATAACTTTGCCAACTGCTGCACTTGTCTGCCTAGGAACACACAGCTCTGTCAAACTGTTGAAGGGACTTTGCTGAAGGAGCGGTAGCATGATTTGTGACAATTACAATGTTTCTATTTGCTTCATGTCCTCCATTGAGTGTTTTTGCTTGGATCTAATGCAGCTTAAGTTTGCTTGTAAGTGTTTGGACTCCTAGAGATGTCATAAACCTTTTGTCCTAACTTGCATTTTTTTTTTGTTTTTTTTGTTTTTGCAGCTCCAGCAAACAGTGTCTTCTTTGGGTGTAATGACACTTTTGTAAGTGTGGCAGTCAAAGTTGACCCACTGGGTACAAGCAGAAGACTGAACCCTGCTTACTTGACCCTAGGGAAGTGCCCAGTCTCTAGTACTACTGCACTTCTTGGCTACCTTGTATTTGAATACCAATACAGTGCCTGTCGATTCGATAGAATGGTGAGTTGTTGTTTTTTTGTATTTGAATGGAGGAACTTGTAATTTTGAGATGTTGGTGCCCCCAAATTCCTAGTATATTGGCCACCTTAAGCTGTAGTTGAAAAGGGACATACTTGGTGTATGAATCTTTCCAAACACCATCTGAGCCTTTTTGCTTTTTTTAAATATACCATTGAAAATATTTTGCTGGTTTTAAGTGCAAAAAATACCCTGATCATGGGCTCAATTCATAAAGCTAAAGCACAAGGGTAAGAATCTTTAATTTTTGTGTTGCTTAAACTGTATTTTTAAAATGAGTCACATGGGTAAAAATAAGATCCTAGCCTTGTGCATAGCTTTGTAAATGATCCAGTCAGTAATCCAGGTGTCCTGTGCATACTTCTATTGGCCCTCCCCAATGCTTGGACTACAGAATAGGTAGAAAACGTACAGGGATATTCACAATTGGCTGAAGAGTTTGGAGAAGACAGGAGAAGTGAACAATCTAGGACAACATAGCTGAACTGGAAAGTGAGCTGAATTGGAGACATTTTTCAAATCGGCTATTTTGTTCATTTGGAAAAATTCTCCAATTCAGGTATGTTCTAGATTGTTCTTCTCCAAACTCTTCACCCCTTAGTTAATAGCACTGTCAATATGAAAATGGCTTAATGTGTTAAGAAAAAAAGCCTACACCTCACAATTGTCTCAACCTTGGTTTTGAACTTCCCAAACCTATCCTAGAAGTTTTTCATGGATTTTAGTTGCCCACAAGGCAAACAAGTGACATTTTAAGCTTGTTTTTTTTGGGGAGCCGAATGTACCAAAACTCAGTGTGAACCAATTTACCCCAAACAACACACAATACAGGACTATTCAAATACATCCTGGAAAAATCAGTACCTTTTTATAGTATACATGGCAAAGGGGATGAGGTCATGTCCCCATTGTCCTATTTAAAAAAATTTGCAACTAACTTTTTTTTTGTGTTTGTACAGTTGAACTCTCAAAAGCTTAATGTCGCGCATTTGTCTTGTGGGTAGGAAGTTGAAAACCTTTTGGTTGTGCAAAAGTTTCATGGCAATTGAGGTTTAGGTACTTTTTTACACATTAAACTACATTAAGCCATTTTCACCTTTTTTGAATGTCTTCGTATTCCCCTAAGCTGGGGTTTTATTAGATCGATGTGGTGGCTACATTAGCTGTCTTAAGACTCTTTCCATTTTTCCTGCCAATACAGCTTCTGTCTGCATGACTTTTGCACCCTATGGGCAGAACTACAAAATTTCCACCCCCTTCGCCTCATAATGAGGTGTTCTGTAGTCCAGGTATCTAGGAACAATGTGACAAGAGCAGCTCAAGTGGATTGCAACTACTTGTTGGCTTACAGTTTATGAAGCAAGTTTTGTCTTTTTTACACTTGCCAAACAGATAACATAAAGCTTTCAATGAGAATATTTCACAGGCCAAAAAGATGCAAAAAAGGGATTTGCTGCATCTTCTGTCCTGCAACCATTCATCTGGGCAGAAAATCTCGAGTGGTGACAGATGGGGAACAAAATCTTGATAGGTCAAAACCTTCCTCACGCCTATGGAAAATGTGCTATTATACGGTTTTCCCAGTTGCTGTTATGACACCAGTCAGTGGAAGTAAGAGGATACAGACGACAAGTTGTATTTCTAACACTTTCATGCTCTCGCCTATGTTGGAAGCAGGGGTTTCACCACCATATACTATGCAGTGGATGTAATTGTACTTTAATAACTTGTAATTATAATATGCTCCAGAAACTTGCACATTTAAGTGTAACCTACCTCTTTATTGCTGTTCTGCAGGCCCTTGGGAATGCCGTGAAGCTTTATGCTAACCTGGTTTACATGCCTACCCAAATGGCCAATCAGTATTCTGAGCCTTTCTCTGTACCCATAGTCTGCATAGCAAAGAGGTAAGCAGATATGTGAACATCATTATTATAATGTAGTGATTACATGATTTTGGTGCAATCACCACTGTACTTTTGTACAACAGCACTAAATGTTTTACTGTAAACCCCATAACAAGGACTAGGGGCCACCACCTAAAATTAGTGGAGAAAAGATTTATCCACAAAGGGTGTACGGGCTTTTCAGTCAGCGGTTACAATTTGGAACTCTCTGCCACAAGCAGTGGTATCGGCAAAGAATATTGATTAGTTCAAAAATCAATTCGAATCCATCAGAGATTGTAACATACAGGGGTATAGGTACACTTAAATACTAGAACGAACATGCATGCACAAGAGCCTCGCACTCACAGTTTGAACTTTATGGACCTGTCGTTTTTTTTTTGTTTTTTTTTTCTCCCCAACCTCAAATACTATAACTATGTAATGGAAATGTTGAAAGACCTAAAGCTGTATAAACTGGGCTGGGGTGCTGCCTAACCTTTCAGACAGTGATTCCCTGATGCAGATTGTGCGTACCAGAGAATAGCAGCTCTCCAGAGGTGGGATACACCAGGCACTCATCTAATTTGGCATGGTGTGATTGTTCATTTGTGAATGTATCTTGCTATTATCAACCTAAAATATAATTCAATTGGAACACTAGAAAACTGAAAAGGAATGTATAAAATCAATTGAAAATATTGATGTGGCTGCACTTCAGGGGTTTGTAGAATTTTTTTATTTTGAAGACTGAGCTGTTTAAAATGCTTGGCTCTCTTGGCAACATGGCAGTAATAAATTGAGTAACTAGACCTAGTACAAATTGCCTATGCAATTTTTATGAAGTAATATTGTGAAAGTATTTTCCCCATGAAGGTGGACTGGCATTTCATTAATTGGCTTGATGGAGGTGACTAGCATCTAACCAGCTCTACGCTACAATAGCAGGTAGATTCTGTGCTTGGCGTTCTGCAAGTTGGTACATGTACAACTGGCAGAATCCTCTTGCTTACAGAAGTTGGGCTAGTATGATGTGAAGAAGGTAGGTTGCCCTGGGTGTCAGTCAGGATATCAAGAAAAACGGTAACCTAATACAATTATGCCTTTCGGAGGAAAAATCTGTTGAATTTGGTTGCTGTGGTCAACATCCCAACAATCCCTCC